GTATAAACGTCTTTTGTTTTCTGTATTTTCTTACAAATATGGGTACTTTCATTTTTTGCTCTCTTTTAGGTCACAGAAACCATAATCTCGAAACACACCTTTGAAGGTAACATGAGACCACATGAATTCAAGTGTTTCTTCCTCTTCAATTGAAAAAAATATTTCTGCTGTTACCTGAACTAACCCAACAGTCTCTTTTAAAATTGAGTGCATCTATATTTTTAAATGACATTAAATGATTTTTTTTCTTTTTTCTTTTTTGCTTTGTTGGCTTTGTTCTTTACTGTTTTTCGCAGAAAGAGTCGCTATCCCTCCACGTACAAAATTACTCACCACTGGCAGCCGACGGCCATCAGCTCATCTTACTCTCAGAGACAGTGGACTGCAGGGTGAGTTTGCCAGCATGTTTGGGTGTGTGTATTACAGAAGCCTTTACTTATGTCAGCAAAAAAAGTCCTTAAGTTTCTACAGCTCTCTCGTCCTTCTGGAAACAATCTTAACAAACCGCTTCATTAGGAATTCAGTAACATAACAAAACATTTCTGACTCGTACTGAAGTGATATATATGGAAGCCCGTTTCCGCCACTGAATAAAAAATAAAAGAGGTAATTGCGACTTTTTATCTAACAATTCTGACATTTTTCTCAGAATTGCATGATACAAACTCGCAATTCTGACTTTTTTTCTCAGAATTGCGTGATATAAACTCGCAATTGCGAGTTAAAATGTCATAATTGAGAGATATAAACTCGCAATTCTGAGTGCGAGATATAAACTTGCAATTGCGAGAAAAAAAGACAGAATTGCGTGTTTTTATCTCGCAGTTGTGACTTTATATCTCGCAATTCTGACTTTATAGCTCGCAATTGTGTTTATATCACGCAATTCTGAGAAAAAAAGTCAGAATTCTGACTTTATATCTCGCAATTCTGACTTTATAACTCGCAATTGCGAGTTTATATCTCACAATTCTGTGAAAAAAAGTCATAATTGTGAGATAAAAATTTGCAATTACCTTTTTTATTTTATTTTATTCAGTGGCGGAAACGGGCTTCCATAGATATATCACATGAAAACAGCAAAAAAAAAAAAAAAAAAAAAATTAGTTCAACAAATGCTTTGTAGTCACAAAACAAATCTCAGTAGATCTCCCCACATTACCAAAAAGGGCTATGTGAATGATTTTAATGGACCATGTTTTGTCATGGAAAACAAGCTTTGCAGAGTTTAACAATAAAGTTAAACTAAAATAATAGCATAAAGATCATTGGTAACACTTTAGAATAAGGTTAGATTTGTTAATATTACCAAACTATTTAAGTTAACACGTTAACTAACAATACTAACAATACTAACAATACTTCTACAGCATTTATTAATTAATGCTTGGCTAATGTTAATTTCAACATTTACTAATACATTTTTAAAAGTTGTATCTTTTCTGTTCTGTTATTAATGTACAGTGAACATACAAACAAACAATAAATGTATTTTAATCATGACAACTCTCGGAACATTTTAGCATGGTGATGGATATGACAATGTTAATGCATTTGGTCTTGGTGGAACAGATCTGCTATGCTGCTGCTGAATTGCTGCTGCTGTTGGTTATTGCTGTAGTTGTAGATTATTGCTGCTGCTGCAAGCAAGTACAGGAACTTGCTACTGCCAATGCATATGGTGATACGGTGCCATGAGTATTTAAGATATACTGCTGCTGCACAAATAGCATATAAAATAACCCCGTAGCAGATCTATACAGGTGGAGCTGGGGAAGGTGGAGGGTTTCAGAGAACTCTGAAAGCGCGCTGCAGGAATCTCTAGTGAATGCTAGCAAGCTATATAAATGCAAGGCAGTAAGCTCATTGGCTGCATATGCAGCATGAACCAATCAGCTTGTGCCAAGTTGTTTAACTCTCTGAATATCATCAGTTACATTAACAAAACATCAGTCTGCGCCATCTAGAGTTTCATGGCTAAACTATATATTTTTATTAACTAACATCAACAAAGGTTAATAAATGCTGTAAAAATACATTGCTTGTAACTAGACAATGTTAAAATATGAGACCTTACACTAAAGTATTACCAGATTATTATTATATTTTTTAACTCATAGTGAAAAAACTACATTGACATGGAATGAAGAGTTTATTATTTTAAGATTATACAGATATTCTGAACCCCAGAGATGGGAAGTTCTGCAGAGTGTCAGGTCTGTTCCTAGTAATTGGTGCAATTTATGTTTTAAAATCAGAAAATGTTTATTATTATTATTGTTGTTGTTGTTATTCATATTATAAATAATTATTATTTATATCAGCATTTTATTTTAATTTATTTTATGATTTTTTATTTATTATTATTTATTATTGATCAATTCTGCTGTACACTGAGGTGATTAAGGTTTGTTGCACCTTTCTTGTTATACCAGGTACGACATCCTTAACCCCCCAGACTGACCTTCACCAGTCCTGCCGCCATCCCGTTCGTTCCTGGGGGAACCAGAGTTTTGGCTCCCACCTGCACAACATGACCGTGTCCAACGGACGCCTGCGTATCCCTCGCGCAGGCCGCTACTACCTGTACGGCCAAGTCTACTTCCGTTATCTCACCCTCTCCATTGACGATTACCACTCGGGCTCCGACAGCCACCAGGTGGTGCAGTGCGTCTATAAGAAGACCGCCTACGCCCGCCCAATTCAGCTCCTGAAGGGTGTGGGCACCAAATGCTGGTCTCCAGACAGCGAGAACGCCCTTCACTCCAGCTACCAGGGAGGCCTGTTTGAACTTCGTGCAGGTGATGAGATCTTCATCTCCGTGTCTTCTCCCACAGCTGTGTATGCAGAAGACTCCTCCAGCTACTTTGGGGCCTTCCTGTTTGACCTCTGAGGGACCCAGTTGGGGCTTGTGGTCTCATTCTAAGGGAAAGGAAATAGTTCCTGTCGGAAGGCCCCACTTGGGAACCTTGAAAAGAGGGAAGCACAGATACTCCACCATCTGATGGGTTCAAAACACCAAACAACTGATCTAGTTATTGTGGTCTGAGGGCCATTTGACCTTCATAGGCTAAATTTTACGATTCAGTAGAGTGATAAACTCTGGACTCCCATCTGAATGGGTAGATCATGAGCATATCTGTGAAGGCTTTGTAAAGACGTTTCTTAGAAAGATGGAAAACCTGAAAATGAGGACAATGACCTTCACTATTTAACCACATAAAAAGCCAAAATAATTCTTTAAAAGTAAGATTGTAACCTTCAACAAATGCACAAAACTAGCTGCACGCAAACCATGCCAGATTAATAGTTTCCAACTATTTTTAATGTTATACTGTTTATACTGTTCATTCTTTCATAAAAAAGACTGGGACAGTGTGGCCAATCATGGCCCAGAAGTCTCCAGTTAATTAAAAGAAGTTATTTTGCATTATGAGTCAAACCGGTGTCATTCACTGATGTCTGAAGTCTAGCAAATAATCTAGAGCCAAAACAGGGTAAGATGAAGAGCGAGATTCCGCATGACTCAAATTTGGCTCAAATTTACCAAAACAATCCAAAGTTAAACTAACATTTTTCAAAGAATGGCTTTTTCCTGTTACTGCAATTTTCCTGAAGCTCCTAATTTAAATATCCAGGACAGACACATATCTTGAAATAATTTTGAGAAACATGAAGAACATCACCAAATATCACAATCCACACTGGAAAAAAAAACACAGAAGAGCATGTTACATGTTGTTATATTTCATGTAATGCTTATGAATAAATTACAATGATAATGTGACATTCATATTTAACACTAATGGATAATGCTGACATAAATAAAAAACAAGTTTACACAATTTAAACATTGAGTACAAAGAACCCAACAAATGATTGCACACAACCATTACATATTTTCTCAACAATTAGTTCACGATGCTCCAAGATGTTTTTAATAAAGTGGCCCTTTATTTATCAAAATGAGTGACATTTTGATAAAAAATGGAAATACTGTAAAAGTTAGCTAAGGACTGAGAACCAGCCAAGCTAATGTGCCATCGGAGGAGTTTCAAGCACTGCTTACAAAGATCTTAGCGTTCACTCTGTGTCCCACTGTGAGTTACATAAACGTAGAATGGAGTGGTATGCTAGCAGAGAAACGCAAATTATTAAAAGAGGTTGAGCCAGATAGATGCAGGCTTTAAACATTAGAATGGAATCATCTGGGTTGATATGCATACAATAAAATGACAATTCAGATGACTACAAATTGCATGCTCAGCTTACATTTGGACATGCATGTGATAGGAATGTAAGTGATACAGGCAATGCATAAAAGCAGCATTTGTTAATGGAGAAAACTTGTGTACCATTAAGTCAAGCTTCAGAAAATGTTAATTATAGGATAATTAAGAGATTGTGATAAGAGAAGGTATTCAGAATTAAAAGGCAAAATCTGACTTGTACTAACAGTATAGTGTAATGTTATTTTGCATTGATTGCACGTACATATTGTCCAAAAATAATGGCAACCTAACTTGCATAGGGAAATGCTACATAATGTGTGGTTTTAACAGTGGTATTACAACATTTGATAACCACATAGACTTCTGATCAAAGGTTTCGGGTTAGTAAATACATTATTATTAATTTTTTTCTTTAGAAATCAACTTTTATTCAACAAGGATGCATTAATCAGTAAAGACATTTATAATCTTACAATTTGTATTTATACGGATTTCTATTTCAAATAAATGCAGTTCTTTTGAACTTTATATTCAGCATTGAAACCTGAAAAGAGAAATGTTTCTTGAGATCATATTAGAATGATTTCTGAAAGATCATGTGACACTGAAGACTGGAGTAATGATGCTGAAAATTCAGCTTTGCATTACAGTAATAAATTACATTTCAAAATATATTAAAATAAAAACATTTTAAATTGTAATATTATTTCACAATATTAGTGTTTTACTGTTTTTGATCAAATAAATGCACCCTTGGTGAGCAGAAGAGACTTAAAACATAATGTTACTGAACCCAAACTTTTGAATTGTAGTGTAAAATGGTAGTGTGAGAGGTAGAGTAATTTTAATCATTTTAATGTGTAATTTCTTGGCAGAAACTACACAGTGCTGCTTATGACTGATTACAAAGTCTGGAAATGTGGTACAGACTTGACATTCGTCCCGAGAGCTTTCAGATGCTGGAATACTTGCAAGTGCTCGTTTAAAGTAAAAATCAAAAAAGACAAAAAATGTAGATGAACATGTAAACAACAAATAATGGTTTTAACTTATGATTAACATCCATTCTGTAGTGGAAGTCAGGAGAACTCTAGGGAAATATGCAATGCACATCTGATACTGATTGCTTGTGACTTCCTCTTGACTTGCATAAGAATGTCTCTTAAATTCTGAAAGATGTGGATGTGGTCTTTTCACCAGAGGTGTTTGGGTTTGAGTAATACAATCCAACAGAGGCCGGGTAGGTGAATGTCTATATTTAGATTTATGCTACAAAATGTTATAATTGCAACTGTTTTCCTTGTGTGGAATATACTCTGATATGTTTTGATGCATTGATATGTTATGATAGGTCGACTACTTGCAAACACCAACACTTGGTTGCACTCATTCCCACCTTTTAAGCTAGCTGCTGGAGTGCATAAAACACTGCCGAAGGTCCTCCATCCTGCAGTTGTAGCGCCTGCACCAATAAGGCTCTACAAATGGATTCACAGTGTGAATGGACGCTAACCCAGTACTGACAGTTCTGTAGTGCAAATAATTTGGCCAGACTGCTGTTTTCTGCCCAATGGGTGGTTTCAAACTGACTGGTGTTTCATAACAGCCAGTTTGGCACTTCAGTTGAAGAGAATAGAGTCAGGGTCTCGGTTGGCCATCTGGGCCATATGTTTAAGAATGTCCTTTTTGGTGATGATGCCCAGTAAACGCCTGTGGGAAAAAAAAGGAACAAGATAAATTATATTGAGCTTACCTAAATATATGTGATGTGTAATAATTCTGACATATGTAAATGATGGACACACTCTAGTTGAGAACTTGAAAACTGACATGCTAAGCTAAGCAAACTAAGGTTTTACCCATTGTGAGTGACGAGACACTGGCGCAGGCCCAGCTTGCGAAAGATGTCCACCACGATGTCCATGGCAGTGTGGTCAGTAACGGTAAATGGGCTGAGATCCATGATACCACGAAGCTTCAACGGAGGAGGACTGTTGGGTGGCTGTGGAGGTGTGTATTCAGTGAAGAAGATTCGGGAGGCACTAACCACACCTTCCTGATGCTGACGAGCATTTTCTGCCAGAGTGAAATGGAGAATAATAAACCTTCTCATGATTGACCTACAGTATAATTCACACGATCCCTATAATAAAGTAATTAATGGAAGAGTTCACTCAAAATTGAAAATGATGTCACCGACTCATTTCTGTCCAAACATGTATGACTTTCTACAGTTACACTTCTGAAGAAAATCTTCTAAAGAATTTTTCATCCAATGAAAGTCAATGGGGTCCAAATTACCTTTGAACTCCATTGACTTTTACGGTATGGACAAAAAAAACTGCTTCACAGAAGTCTTACAGATTTGATATGACATGAGGTCAGAATTTACATTTTTGGCTGAGCTACTTCTTCAGTCCACCAAGATGTTCATCATCAGCAATCACAGTCCAAGATCTAAGAAAGGTGATATAGATAAAAAAGTCCTATATAGAGTTGTAATCTCTTACCAATAGAGATGACCAGATCCCTGCGCTGCACAAAGCCCACAAGTCTCTGAGACTCATGTGAGACAACCACAGGGAAACCGCTGTATGAGGTTTCAGCAATGAGCGACTCGACTTCCTCCACGCTCATCCCGTCCTGCATGATCACGGAGAGTGGGGGGTCACTACGGCGGGGTCGCATCACGTCCATGGCCAGCGTCTTGTGGCTGAACTCCTCCTTAGGCTCCAGGAAGGGGTAACCATTGAGACGGATGTGAGCCTCATAAATACCTTCTCGACCCAGAGCATCTGCCACCCATTTACTAGTCATGGTGGCAGCCATGAGAGGCACAATGTATTCCAGGCCGCCCGTTAGCTCAAACATAATGACCACCAGAGAGACTGTCATACGAGTTACACCGCCTACGAAAGAAAGACAGGCCTGGATAAAAGTACCAGGACAAGCCTCTAACGGCACATTTTTAACAGAAGACAATTTAAATAAACTCTTACCCAGACAGGCAGTAGCGCCCACCATAGCATAGAGGCCGGGGGTGATGCAGTCTGCTCCAGGTGAGCACCAGCCTCTGAAGATTACCCAGTCATGGTGGTAATATGCCAGTTGCTCCATACCCACACCAAGCAGCCTACCTGCAATCGCTCCCACAGCCATACTGGGGATGAAGAGGCCAGAGGGCACCTGGAGGAACATACAGACACAGGACACAACAGTACAGAAAACAGCCTATGTAAACACTAAATTCTTTGAAATAGACAGTGTGTTGACACTTTCTAAGATGGAGGGAGAGATGGAAGAAAGTCAGATAGAACGCATGGATAGATGGAAGAAAGGAAGATATGAATGAAAGGATGGATGGATTGATGATGAAAGGAAGAAATAATGGAAGAGAAAGAAAGAAAGAAAGAAAAAGAAATGGATGGATGGATAGATGCCAAATGAAGGAAGGATGCATGTTGAAAGGAAGGTAGAAAGGAAAAAAGAACAACAGAAATAAAGAAAATTTCTTTAAGAAATGGATTAAAATAACAAAGAAAGGATGGATGGATGACGGAATAAGGAAGATGGATAGATGGAAGAAATAATGAATGGATAAAATGAAGGAAGACAGGAAGGATGGATAGATTAAGAAAGAAGGGAAAGTAGAATCGATGGAAGGAAAGAAGGAAGAATGGAACAGACAAAGAAAGAAATGTATGAATGGTGGAAATATTATTTGACAATAAATGTGAGTTGAGTTAAAAGATGGATGGAAGGAAAATGATAGAATGGATGGAAAAAGGAAGGATGGATGATGGAAGAAAGAAACAAAAAATGAATGGATGGACAGACGGACAAATGGAAGAAAGGATGGATGGGTGGAGGGATGAATGGATGGAAGAAAGATAAAATGGATAAAAAGGAAGGAATGATGGATAGAGGAATGGAAGAAAGAAAGATGATGGATGGATGGAAAAAAGGGTGGAAAGGTTGATTTATAGAGGGAGGGATGGGTGGATAGAAGAAAGGAAGAAAGGATGGATGATGGTTGGCAAGAAGGATGGAAGTTTGGATAGATGAAGGGAGAGATGGATGGATAGATGATGGAAAAATGAAAAGAAGGAAAGATGAGCGGATAGAAGAAAGGAAGATTGGATTGACGGATGGATTTGACCCTGTACCTTCATGCCGAAGGTCACCACTGTTATGAGCATCTTAAAGACCAGGGCCAGTGAGAGCTGCCACATGGCAGTGTAGACATCTTGTCCTGCTGGTCTATCAGGCAGAGCATCACTGCTGCTCTTGGTGACGCTCACATTGGCATAGTTACACAGCTGTGAGGAATCCAGCAAGCCGCAATCGTTGAACAGCTCAGAGATCAGCTCGCTGGTGCTCATACACGTGTAGCTGTTGGGGAATGCCAGCAGAGCCGTGACAGCCGTAACAACCAGCACCTCCAAAACAGGGTAGTGACCCAGCCGCGTGGTCTTACGTCGGCGACACCATGCAATGTTTGCACGGATGAAGAAAGCTCCCCAGATTCCCCCAAAAATACCCAACAGGACAAAGGGTATGAGTTCCAGCAAGTGCCAAGGGGAGTGGAACTCCACGTAGAAGAGAACCAGCCTGCTGTTACCAAACGGGTTGATGGACCGAAGGGTGAAAGCCGCCACCAATGCAGCAAAGAAAGAGCGCCACAGCGTCTTCAGGGGGAAATAATAACTCACCTACAGGATAAAGAGAGAGAGATTCTAGTTATTAAAATTACACTAGATAATGCTGAGAGTATGCAAACATAAGTACTGTATGTTAAGAGTATTCTTGCCTCTTCCAGACTGAACAGAACTCCACCAATCGGTGCTCCAAAAGCTACTGACACACCAACAGCTGCTGCGGCAGACAATACCTAATCAACATACAAAAAGAAGAAAGGCAGAACTGAAACAGTAAGCCAAGCTCATCACACAAAAAGCTTGGATCAACAAAGGCCTCAAATGTAAAAATAAAATGTGATCTTATGTTTGGTCTCGTCGTCATGATGTCAATAAAAAACATTCTCACAATGAGTAAGTTTTAAACATAAAACCACAAAAACAGGCAACCAGAATGTCCTTAGAGGAAAGCCGCAAAAATGTAACAACAAATGTCACTGTTGTTTTAGAGAGAGAGAGATGGGAGATGGAAGTTAGTGCCTTGATCCTTAAAAACACTGATCAAATGCTTGGGGTCGGTTTTTAATATTTTTGAAAGAGGTCTCTTATGTTCATCAAGGCTGCATTTATTTAAAAAAAATACAGCAAAACAGTAATATTATTCTGAGTTAAAATAACTGTTTTCAATATGAATATATTTCAAAATGTAATTTATTCCTGTGACAGCAAAGCTGAATTCTCAGCAGCCATTAATTCAGCCTTCAGTGGCTCATGATACTTTAGAAATCATTTTAAAATGCTGATTAATTCTAATGTGCAAATTACATTTTTTGTGCACAAAAATGCATTAACATTATAAGGTGGATTTACTGTGAGTAAAAAAAGCATCCATCTTTTTTTTCACATTTATTAATTTCATCTACTCATCATACCTCTCGTCTCTTTGCCTCATTCCTGCGGTACTTGGTGAACAGGTGGCATAGGATGTTGCCACAGCAACAGGCCACATGGACCAGAGGCCCTTCTTTGCCCAGACTGAGTCCAGATGACACTGCCAACACCAGGGTGATGGTTTTAATTATAAGAGTCCATTTACCCAGGTAGCCCCTGATAATAAACCCACTCAGGATAGTCTTGATCTAGAGTGACAAACAAGAATTAGGACATTTTAACAGTTGCCTATACTTTGTTATATAGCAATTTAAAAACCCGTGTGTCAAAACGTAATATTAAATATTATATTGGTACTACAATTTTTTGTTTACCTCAGGTATTCCAGAGCCACAGGCATACGGGGCAAAGGCCCTGACTAAAGACACAGCCAGGAAGGAGAAAAGCAGCGCCCAGCACACATACATCAGGTAATTCATGATGTAGGCGAAAGGACCTTCATTAGTACCGACAATGAGCTCTGCCCAGCTTTTCCAGTTAGGGCATTTGTCTCTCTCCTGGAAGGTCGTCTCATTGGAGTTCCAGCAGCAGTGCTCATGATTAAACCAGAAGCCGTTCAGACAAACTCCCTCCTTCAGATCTGTCATCCAATGGGCAGAGATGTCAATGCCACCAGCCAGGGCACCTGAAATCAAACAGAACAGCACATGCTATAAAACGCCACGGCGAGGCCAGATGGTATTTCATAAAGCTCTTTTTAATTTGGTGCTCTATAATCATTCTTCATGATACTTATGCTTTAATATTATAGAAACAAACCAACCTGACATCAGTCCCACGAGCAGCATGAGAAGCCAGCCAGAAAAGGCATCACTGATACTCTTCATCAGAGCCAAGGCGGACTCTTTACTCTTGGTAGCAATCTAACATGAAGGGAAATGGAAGATCACAAATAAACACAAGCGTGAATTGCACCACATGCATGATTCATTTCTTTCTGAGCATAGAAGATGTTTAAAACCCAACAAGATTCGATTGTACAGTCACCTCCCGGTGGTGATCCCGGTCCTTAGATTTTTCTCGGACCCAGTCGATGGTGTTGAAGTCTTCATATGTGCCGACCCCAGGCACTGGCTCATCGAGCAAATCCATCAGTTTAGGAACCCCATTGGACCCATCTCCAGCTCCATATGAACCTCCTGCACAGATGCAGGTCAAAAGTACAAAATAAATAACCGGATGTGACAGTTAAAGGCCTCAGGTGGAATACCAAAATGATCACAAGAGCCCTTTTTCCACCGACAGGATGTTTCAACCAATCTGGTACAGTTTCAAGCAAAAAGGCCAGCAATTTGACCTAGTCCTTTAAACTTGCTTTCCTTGACCTCGGAACCACTAATGTCAGAAGTCAAAGGGTGGGATAACCTCATCAAAATCAACTGCACATCAACTACCATTCAGAAGACTGAAGTCAGCATTTTTTTTTTTTAAAGAGCCGGGTGCACACTATACGATTTTGGCCACGATTTGGCCATCTGAGACAAAATCTAAAGAATAAAAAGACTAAAATCTGAAGTCTTTGGTCATTAGTTTGACATGTTCACCGCTGAGATCAAATTTTTACCTCCGACGAAATTCTGGCAGTGTCAGAAGATTTGGCGCACAGTCCTGCAGTGTGACATCTCCTAAAAGGCCAGCAATTTGACCTAGTCCTTTAAACTTGCTTTCCTTGACCTCGGAACCACTAATGTCAGAAGTCAAAGGGTGGGATAACCTCATCAAAATCAACTGCACATCAACTACCATTCAGAAGACTGAAGTCAGCATTTTTTTTTTTTAAAGAGCCGGGTGCACACTATACGATTTTGGCCACGATTTGGCCATCTGAGACAAAATCTAAAGAATAAAAAGACTAAAATCTGAAGTCTTTGGTCATTAGTTTGACATGTTCACCGCTGAGATCAAATTTTTACCTCCGACGAAATTCTGGCAGTGTCAGAAGATTTGGCGCACAGTCCTGCAGTGCGAACGTCTTTGTCTTCCGTTTTTAAAGACAAGCCATGATCAAAATTAACACTGGAGTTTTCGTTGTTATGGTACGTGTCCACTGGAGCGTAGCAGAGCGAGCGCTTTTAATTCATTTATATAGAAGCTGAGCTTCTCGCTCACGTGCAAGCGTGAAGCTAAACTTTCATAGGAATGAACTGAAAACACTCGCTCTGCTCTGCGCCAGTGGACACGCACCGCTAGCCACCATTTCATTCCTGTGTGTAATGCAGCTCACCTTCACTGAACGTGTCATGGGTTGATTTTTCTTGCACAGGTCTGTTTTGAACGTGTCTTGACTGTCGTTCAGTCTGACATTAATGGCAGCTGAGATCCTACAGTGTGACATGAGAATCATGTTCGTACAGTCTGACAAGCAACAATTGTAAAGGACTATTATAAATTGCACAGTGTGCGCTCGGCTGCATTTATTTTCAAAATACAGTAAAACAGTAACATTATGAAATATTATTACAATTTAAAATGATAATTTTAATTAAAAGTTCTATTTTAATATATTTAAAAATATATTGCTGTGATGGTTTTTATTCAAATTTATTCTAAAGCATCATTACCCCAGTCTTTAGTGTCACATGATCCATCAGAAATCATTCTAATATGCTGATTTGCTGCTCAAGAAACATTTGTTAAGAAACATTTATTATCAATGTTGTGACGACGCTGAGTCTCCTGATCCTGTTGGAGCAGAGAGTGGAAGATTTTGATTGGTTGTCAACCTGTTAATTGATCATTAGTTTGAGTATTTAAGAGTGTTCCGAGTTATTTGGGGTAGGCACTCCCGGTGGGATAGTTCTCTCAGGAGTGTCTCTTTCTGACTCTTTTCTTGTTTGTTCCTTTTGGCATTTCTTATATCATGTAGTTAAAGTTTTGTTGTTACTAATTTAATTATTTTCTTTGATACCCCTAGACTTCCATTTATTGTCACTATTAAAGGGTTAGTTCACCCAAAAATGAAAATTAGCTCATAAATTACTCACCCTCAAGTCATCCTAGGTGTATATGACTTTCTTCTTTCAGACGAATCCAGTCGGAGTTATATTAAAAACTGTCTTTGATCTTTCAAAACTGTTTAATGGCACTCAGTGGGTGTTGCAGTGCATCAGTCCAAAAGAAGTGAAATAAAAAGCGCCCATCCTTAATAAAAAGTGTCTCACACAGCTCCGGGGGGTGAACAAAGTCCTCCTGTAGCGAATCGATGCGTTTTTGTAATATTTAAAACGTAATAATCAATTTAATCTAGCTTGCGCTCACTGTTGTACACGGAAGCAGCTCCGGGCGGATAACGTTGCGCATGCGCCGCTCAGAAGTGACGAACGCGGAAGCACAGGGGAGAGAGATCAAAACAAAACAATGGTCACTAATTATAAGTACAAAACAAGGATTTGTAAAGAAGAATGTTGCAGGATTTTGATATAAGCCAAGAGGAGACTGGTTTTCGTTTGCTAAAGTAAGGAAACTTTGCTTCCTTTGCTCCTGTAAACAAACGTTGGTTTTCACGAGACTCACCAGCGCATGCGCAACGCCGACATCTTACGTCATCCTCCTGGAGCTGCTTCCGTGTACAACTGTTGGCGCAAGCTAGATTAAAGTGATTATTACGTTTTGAATATGGATATTTTTCTTACAAAAAACGCATCGATTCGCTACAGGAGGCCTTTGTTCACCCCCCGGAGCCGTGTGAGGCACTTTTTTTTATGGATGGGTGCTTTTTATTTAACTTCTTTTGGACTGATGCACTGCAACACCCACTGAGTGCCATTAAACAGCTTGAAAGATCAAAGACAATTTTTAATATAACTCCGACTGAATTCATCTGAAAGAAGAAAGTCATATACACCTAGGATGACTTGAGGGTGAGTAATTTATGGACTCATTTTCATTTTTGGGTGAACTAACCCTTTAATTGTTGTTGTAATAGTTTAATTTAATAAAACAATTTGCTTTCATTAGACTTTGTTGTCTGATCGCTCTTATGTTGCAACCTTAAATGAGCGGGTCGTAATGTTGAAAAAAGTTCAGCTGCTTAATGTTTTTGTGGAAAGTGTGATATATTTGTTTTCAGTATTCTATGACTATGATAAATAGAAAGTTCAAAAGAACAGCATTTATTTGAAATGATAAATGGCTTTACTGTCACTTTTGATCAATTTTGCTGAATAAAAGTATTATTTATTTAAAGTGCCCCTACTATGCCATTTTTTAGGTTCCTAATATTGTTTTGGGTGTCTCCTACAATAGGTTTACGTGCATGCAAGGTCAAAAAACGCTTTCGTTTTCTCAAAATATGCCATTTAATATCACCTCATCTTCCAACAATTCTCAAATGATTCATTAGAAGCAGTTCTAAGATTCAGTCTCTCTAAACCCCTCCTTTCCTTGAGCCTACTCTGCTCTGACTGGTCAGATGGCTCAGTCTGTTGTGATTGGTCTACCGCTTACAGCGCGCATCGGAAACGATACACCTATGCCATACTTCCGTATTTTTCCGTAAGTTGCTTGCGGCCGACTAACGTAGAACATAGGTGGGCTAGGGGTGTGCGATATATATCGTCTGCGATAATATCTTAATCATTGTTTTAACGATGTGTGATTTGACGTTATCGAGTATTTTGCAAAAACCTTTCAAAACACCCCTACAGAATGCACGCATACATTACGTGAAGTTTAAACTAGTGCGCGTGCGCATTTAGAATGCGTTCTTTCACTGCATGATTCAGTCTACAATACATTTAGAATGATCACAATTCATGACATGATGGCAGAAAATTTATATATTTATACCATTTCATATAGTTAATCAATATTAAACAAAGAGTGCCGTTTTTTTGTAATGAATGATTACAAATGTGAAATGTGCTAAACAAGAAGTTAATTAAGAGACATATTAGACACCATGAATCAAACGTTTAAATGACTCGGTTCAATCGCAATGACAAATGCATTTAAGAATGATCACAATTCATGACATGATGGCAGAAAATTTATATATTTATACCATTTCATATAGTTAATCAATATTAAACAAAGAGTGCCGTTTTTTTGTAATGAATGATTACAAATGTGAAATGTGCTAAACAAGAAGTTAATTAAGAGACATATTAGACACCATGAATCAAACGTTTAAATGACTCGGTTCAATCGCAATGACTCACTTATTAACAGTGACTTTCTGCCCCCTACTGGCGATTTTAATTTCACATTCAGGGTATCTTTTATTATTTAAATAAGTTCAAACGTTTTATGTTTAATATATCAAAACATTATTTATGCATGTGTAATTGCAGGTTAAATGCATTCATGTAATATCGAGATATTATTTTTTGTCAATATCGCACACCCCTAAGGTGGGCATTATGCAAATGTGTTACCCAGGGAAGTGTAGCCGTCGGATTCAAATTACTGACGACTCGTTTACTGTTCAGAGTCGATTCTTTCTTTTGGGAGACAATAACTCTATTTATCATGCACTTTCGGCTTTCCAACTTTGCACATCATTTACATTCACATACAGCTACATTACACACTGCATGAAAGGCAATATTCGAAATGGCATAATAGCGGCACTTTAAAAAATTCTTAAAGACTTTTGAACAGTTGCTCCAGTCACTTTATTTTAGCTATATATTTAAGTAGCCTATTTAATTAATAAATAAGTATTTATAAGTTATTATTTATTCAAATTATTATTATTACTATTAAATATATAACAGCATTAAACAATAAGCATTATATATTACATTTCAATGCTTCATATATACTTCTTGTGGGCTTTTAGTGGAAAGGGGATAAAGGTTGTCATTTATGGTTTTGCACATTCCTGTTCCAGTGTTCACAGTTCTTCACATGACTTTCATAGAAAGATTTTATTAGTACCAAGAACAGGAAATAAATTACACCACACAAAAAACAAAACAAAACCAGCAATAAAACTAGCTATGGTTAATAATTGCCAAGCTTAATTATATATTATTTACTGCGCCATATAGTGTTCATAATGATTCAAAGCATACAATGTAAAAGTTGTTTATGAATAAACTATCACAAAATGTTTGTATTTAAGCAAAAAATAACCCATATACTGTGTGGAAGTACCAAATCACACAGCAAACACCCTTCAAAGCAATTGATATCAAACACTGAGGAAGTTCAAGGGAAACAGATGGATGTGAAAACCTGACACCACTCAAAAAATGAAACTAGCTACAACAGAAATAACTAGAGGGGACACTTTGATCTCACTGATAAAAGGATTTATATTAGGGGGCGGCAAATACCAAAGTTGTGACCTCAGCGAATTCTCACCACTATTTTCTCACAGACACACAAACACCAGAGACCTATACATTACACATTTGCCCCCAAACCTATATCATATGATGAGAGAATGAAAAAAAAACTATGGGAATCTTGTGAATGACACTAAACAAGAAGAAAATAACATAACTGAATAAGGATAAAACTGGGTGGCAGCTACTCTGGGGAAATAATATGACTTATATTGTCAACTCTCCATGTCATAATTGTCACTGTCACCACTGGGGCGATTTTCCATCGCCTTTGTCTCATCTCACTATAAATGCAGATCTGGCACTCACCTGAGCCATAGTCCCGGTCCAGAGGAGGCACGTCATCAGTGCTGGAGAAGTCCTGCGATCTCCACCATGTCCTCATCGCTGGTTCCGCTCTGCAGGCTGTTGAAGCTCTCGCTGCAATAGCCTGTGTTGTCCATTTTTCCTCCAGAATGTGGAGGACATGGAAATGTCCTTTGACCTGAGTACAAGAGACTCCATTTGAGTTAAAGCTTGACAGGATCCACCCAACTATTAATGTTTACCATGCACTTCTAGATTGAATAGTAACCTAGCTATGATTTACACCATGGCTTTTTAATGGCATATATTATGATTCTGGATTACAAATAACATAAAGCAGATGAACTTTAAATTTAATAGTAATAATTTAATATGAACAGCAGAAAAAAATTTAAAAAGCGTTCTAACTGTAATATAAGTTATTAAAGGTTTATCTTTTTAAATTATTTTTTATCATTGGTTTTAAAGATTTACAAATACAGCCAGAGGAAAAATTAGGATTAAAAATACTAATAAAGAAAAACAAATAAATAAACAAAAACAAAATAAATTAAATTAAAACACTAAAATGTTTACGAAGTATTTATAGCTCTCTTATTTTTCAAATTTGCCTTTAAAGTAAAAAAAAAAAAAACGTATTTCCCCCAATATTTACATTTGTGTGTACTATATTTAGCTAATAAAAGTAGCAGCTTAGATTTAAGGTTTACCATCCGAGTTACTAAACCAAAGCTAATGACATCAGCAAACTTCAGATATGGGTCATTTTAGCTTAGCCAATTAGCTTGCAAAAAACAAGAGCCAAGTTATATATTCGATTGCGTCAAATGGCGTAGAAAGAGCGCTTATAACACACTTCCTAACCTGCTTCAAGCTGTCAGCAATGAGGAACTATTATGACAAATTCCCAAAAATACTCATGGGGCTGGTTAGCAGGATAGCTAAAGGGTTGCATGCAAACCAGCTGTAATTTTCATAAACTTAAGAGCCGTGGCTTAATGGCATCAAAAGGAACAGTTCCAAAACATATTTATAAGGTTAACATGCCGTACATTACCTGTACTTAGATTAAAGTGAAACTACTAAACATTTACCTTGTTTGTGTCACTCAAGCGCCGATGCCAATGACGTACAATCTCCGTTCGACATGTATAGCCGAGTGCCGATACACAAGATTAGACTTCAGTATTCGATTAAGAATGTCTCTCACAGTTGGTTGGTTGGTGTGTCATACCAGAGAAAAATAAACAGCTCATTAGCAGCACATCCTTGTTGCCATCTATAGGTGACAGTGGAAACAATTTGAGCCGACAGTGATCACGCAGCGTGATTACATTTGTTACCACAATTACGTGCTGCTGAACTTCACGGACTTTGTGTTGTCCTGAACCTAATGGACTTTATGTTGTCACGAACCGTATGGACTTTGTTTTATCTCTTTAAACGGCATCAAGACTGTTCCCTATAAAAACATGAAATCATAACAAAAAAGTGATAGTCCACAGATTTTCGAAACAAATATTTAAACAAATTGTGGGACTGGATCACACTGTTCTGTCATTTGGAGCACATACTGAACTTTCACCGGTCACCAGTGTGAGTCGTTCAGCATGATGCGTTACATAGGCTTAAAGTTCTTAAAATTATTAAATTAATTTAGAGTTAAATTTAAAATGAAGCCTATATGAATGTTTAAAATGTTTATCTGCCCTATTACTGATCACCACTTCTTGTAATTTTCCCACCATTAAGTTAATTAATGGTCCTGCTTGTGACAAATAAAAACGGCATGCATAATAAATAATTAATTACAAGACCAAGCAAATGAATGTTGCAATCTTATAGTATCTGTTATATTATTCTGCCTGTGCCATGTTTTATATTCATTTTATTAATTTTATTCATACTTGAAATGACTGATGCAATGGCGTGCAAGATTCTTGGTATGAACAGGCCATATGTTATCTGAGTGAACTTGATGACCTATTGATTTAGAGAGATGAGGACATACTTTTCTCTTAAAAGTTATTTTAAAATTCTGAAAAAGAGATAAGCATCATCTTTGTATTATCTGTTGTCAAATAGCTTCCCTTCAAAATCCCAATATTAAATCTGCACTGTAAAATGACTGCAATTTTAACAGTAAAAGACTGTTCATTGTTAAAACTTGTAAGTTCCATTACTAGATGGTGAAAATTGTAATAAACTTAATGAGATATTTCATGCCATTTTAAAGTAAAATACTGCTAAATGTACAGTTTTTGGAAGTGAAAAGATCAAGTCAGTGGGGGGAAAAGTACATTGCCAGAATTCCATGTGACAGCTTACATTTGATGGTTTTTCATTTTAATCATTATGTTTCTTCTTAGTTATTATGCTATCAGTTATGTATATTGTTACATTGTATGTTGTTAAATGTATATTCATTTTATTATTTTACCTTCTATATTTACCTCAGCTTGTGGAAAAGCTATTTGTGATCAACTTTGATTCATCACATCTGTTATTTCAATTAATGAAGTATAATTTTTACAGTAAATTTAAGTTACATCCATACACATTTTTATCATATTTTGAATGGTAAAGTTCTAGCAACCACAGCTGCCATTTTTACAGTAAATTTCACAGATTTAAGTGGTACATATATTTTTATTATTATAATTTTTTTTAACAGTTTGGTGCATGTAATGTTTTCATTTTTATATTGCAGCACCACCCACATTATGTATAAACTGTAATTTGTTAGACAGCTTTTATGTATACTTTTCTAAATTAATATTTATTTATTTTTTAAATTAATTTATACATTTATTTATACAAAACATTCTAATCATGATGTAAATGTAGGCTACTGTCGATCCCAGAAGCTAGACAACTACACATTAATGCCAGTTTAAGCTTATGTAAACTCTTAAATATTTACTAAACACGTGATTTTATCTTGGCCATGGCCTTGAGCAGAGTAAGAGGGCAGAAGAGACAGATAGACAGAGAGGGTGGGGAGGTAAGATCAGTGTTGGAGGGTTATAAATACACACGATCTTCGCAAAGCTTAAGTAATCTTCTGGACACACTGACATACTGGAGTTTTAGGAAATAACATTACCAAAATGCATCTGCATCACTTTAACCTGGTCAAATTTGGATTTTGCACATTAATCTTGCTAATGCTGATGTACCAGGTGAGTTTACACCACTTTCCAAGAACTTTTTTTGTCACAGTTATTAAGAACACGTTATACCAGGATGTAAAAAAAAACTGCTTATACATTTATCATAATTACTAGGTAACACTTTACAGTTTAATTTCTTAACATTAGTTGCATTAGTTTACCTGAACTAACACTGAACAATACTTAATCTTAGTTGATGCTAATTTCAACACATTTCTTAAAATCAAAATAGTTAATGCACCGTAAAGTAACATGATCAAGGAACTACTGTATTTTTAGGAGCTAACATTAAAAAAGATTGATAAATGATGTAAAAATATACCGCTCACTGTTAATGTTAGCTAATGCATTAACGTTAACAAATGAGACCTTATTATAAAGTGTTACGCTATTAATCAAGTTAATAATAATAATAATAGTTACAATTAATAAATTATTATATTGTATATTATTATTATTATTATTATTACATATGTTAGCAGCATGCATATATGTTCACTACTGACTGAGTAATGTATGTTAGGTATCTACTGTGCCAGTAGTGACTTCTGAGGTGCGATCAGATCTTCAGTCATCACATATACTTCACCGCAAGATACGAATGTCCCCTCTTTGGCGAATCATGGGGTTCAAACCATATGGAGCCTATTGCCATGACAACATAGAATGTACTACAGGTTTATGCAGGTAAGTCACCGCTGTCATCATTTCCTTTTATTTAAAGTCCTAAAACTGCCCTGAATCTGAAAACTGATTATATTTTCTACTCCCAGGAACGGTCATTGTTCGTTTAATGAGCCTGTTCATTCTTAGCGGAGTGGAAACCTGAAAAAAAGTCATTCATGAGTCAACCCAATATATATATCAATTTTATGGCCATAGGCTATGCTTCAAGCACTTTAATTTCTGAACTGTATATAGCACAGTACAAAATGTGTAGAGCATGTGGAGAAATCTGACTTGAAAAGCTACATTGGATTCACTGTATGTTTTATGTTCAAGCCATTTAAAAACATTATTGTTTATGAACAATGATGTTAAACCAGACTTTTGGGTTTTATATTTGACTTACCCTTAACAATACACAATTAACAAAACTGTAAGTGCACTGTAAATATACTTAATCTGTATGAGCATGAGTTTTAATTTCTGTAATGCATTATTAAGAATCACAATGCCGTAAAAGTGCATTTGTTACTGTTTAGAATGTGGACTTGCTGGAGGTATTGTGACTAAAATGTCTATTTTAAGATCTATATGTATGAAATAATTATATTCATGTGATATTTGATATAAAGTACTGTATTAGATAAGCTATGAGGGCATACAGAAGGCCTCAGTCAGTAGTGTCAATTAAAATCTATAGGCACAGGGCCAGTAAGAGAACGTGCACAGCCGCACATATCTTTCTCAGGATGTTCTATGTTCTGAGAAACCCAGTTCTAATGGCAAAGGGCCCTGAAGTCCCTCAGTAGCCACATGTTAGTGAGAGGAGTATTTGCACAAGAATGTACTGTAACAGACTGATGTCATTGTACTGTGAACGACCTCCAAATGGACCCAGAATGCATGTTCCTTTTCTGACACGAGAGCAAAGTTTAAGTTAATCAAATAAATCACTAACAGTTTCATTATTTCAAGTTACGATTCTTATTTGTGATACGGTATCCATTTGTGAAATGTTCATACTTCAATGTGCATTTTTTGGAATCCTTAACACATTTTTTTTTATTTATACTATTTATAAAATATTATATTTATACAATGTATAGACAAATGTTTGTACAAATATAAACAAAAATGTCCACATCAAAAAGTATATGATTTTTACAGTGAACATAATGTATTATCACATACAGTATGCTGATATACAGGTGCATCTCAATAAATTAGTCAAAATTACTCAAATTGTGAAACTCGTGTATTAAATAAATTCAATGCACACAGACTGAAGTAGTTTAAGTCTTTGGTTCTTTTAATTGTGATGATTTTGGCTCACATGTCCATTCCTTGTGAACTTCACTCAAGTTCTTGAATCGATTTTGCTTGACAATCCTCATAAGGCTGCGATTCTCTCGGTTGGTTGTGCATCTTTTTCTTCCACACTTTTTCCTTCCACTCAACTTTCTGTTAACATGCTTGGATACAGCACTCTGTGAACAGCCAGCTTCTTTGGCAATGAATGTTTGTGGCTTACCCTCCTTGTGAAGGGTGTCAATGATTGTCTTCTGGACAACTGTCAGATCAGCAGTCTTCCCCATTATTGTGTAGCCTAATGAACCAAACTGAGAGACCATTTTGAAGGCTCAGGAAACCTTTGCAGGTGTTTTGAGTTGATTAGCTGATTGGCATGTCACCATATTCTAATTTGTTGAGATAGTGAATTGGTGGGGTTTTGTTAAATGTGAGCCAAAATCATCACAATTAAAAGAACCAAAGACTTAAACTACTTCAGTCTGTGTGCATTGAATTTATTTAATACACGAGTTTCACAATTTAAGTTGAATTACTGAAATAAATTAACTTTTCCACAACATTCTAATTTATTGAGATGCACCTGTATAGTTCACCATATTTAGTCTTTTCATGCTTTTCACGTGTTACATTGCCAGTAGGTGGCAACAAGTGACTGTGTCTGTTTAATCATTGAATTGTTCGAACAAACACCAATTCAAACACCATTGTTGTGTATTGCACCGAGATGACCAATGGTGGATTCCACTAAGACTGCAAGTCAATAGTGTCTAAAATAAGTTGCTTATTATAACTATAATAACTTATTATAAGTATTGTATAAACATCAGATTTGCAATCATGTTGTTGGCTAAATAGACTGATTAATTTTGTAAATAACAAGCATCTTGAATCATTGTGACAACATGCGGATATCGCATCATTTTGCTCAGTGTGCTGCATTATAGGTATATGTTATGTTACTTTCAAAAATGTATTCTATTTGACTTTATATGATTGATTTTATTTTAATAATGGATGGAAACTGCACCTGTAAATACAAGATAGGGTGCGCCTCAACAGCAGTTACATCATTTGATGTAATATATACTACTGAACAACTCGTCCTTAAAGGGATAGTTCACCCAAAAAATGAAAAATTCTGTCATTAATTACTCACCCTCGTGTCGTTTCAAACCCGTAAGACCTTCGTTCATCTTCGGAACACAAATTAAGATATTTTTGATGGAATCTGAGAGCTGTCTGACCCTGCATAGACAGCAACGCAACTGAAATGTTC